ACCATGCGAACAAAAGAAAGTGGTCATGATGTAGCTTATGATGACAATTTCAATCGTATTTTATTTCTTAATTTACACTTTACAGCTGGACTTGCCCTCGGATAGCTAGTGCTAGTCTAGGCGGGCCAGTCTATCAAGATATGGTTGCAAATGTTTTTTTATTAGTTAATAGGAAAATAGAAAGTTAGGAAAAATGTGAATAAAAGAAAAAGGTGGGAAAAGAATGAGAAAAGAAGTGAGGGGTTATCAGATTTATGAGATAATTTTTCTTTTACTACTACTGATATTTTAATTTACAAATAATCTGGTGAACCTCAATGAAGGAATCTTCGTCTTCAAGAACACTTAGTAGTTTGTTTTTAATTCTGAGTTTGAATGATTTCTTTTGGTAGTTCTCCCAGGGAGCTTGGCATCGCATTCCTTAGNGGTGGAAAAAGAATGAGAAAAGAAGTGTGGGGTCGTCAGATTTATGAAAATTTTTTTTTTTTACTACCACTGATATTTTAATTTACAAATAATCTGGTGAACCTCAATGAAGGAATCTTCGTCTTCGAGAACACTTAGAAGTTGGTTTTTAATTCTGAGTTTGAATGATTTCTTTTGGTAGTTCTCCCAGGGAGCTTGGCATCGCATTCCTTAGTTTGCCGCCAATTCTTAAAAACGCGGGTTTTTTTTTATTTCAAGTTTTGAGGGTTTTATGTAAAAACCTATCGGAAGTAGAAGAGCGTGTGCTGCTGTAAAAATGGACACTGGACGGTTTCGTATATAAATTACGTATATTAATTGGAGCAGAAGCAGTGCTAAAGTCGTGCATCAATTCAGATAAAGTTTTGTAGTATAAAAAGTTTAAAGGCAAAAACTTAGCGTTAATCGTAACAGTGGAACGAGTAAACCACCTCAAAGAAATCTCGATCTCATAATCTAATTTTTCGTAGTAGATGGCTGCCTAATCAATCAAGTTGCAAGACTGTGAATAGTCTTCCAGCGAATTATTCGAACGAGTCACAGAAACATGTTCTTCAGTCTATCAGAGAGTGGCGTTTTTCCAAGAATACTTTCTTAAAGTCTGCACAACGTTTCACCACAGGTTGCTAGAAAGATGTTAAGTCAAGAAACAGGCGACCGGTTACGTCACAAAATACGGGATAGCATGACGTTCAAGGATGTGAAATATTACGCGCAATCATTCTCAGACGCTGATTACGGTACAACGCACGTGGCTGTTTTGGCGCCAAATGGTGACGCGGTTTCCGTGACATCTACAATCAACAGGAGGTAGGTTTAGAACTTCTCGCGAGTTATTAATTAACTCTTTTTGTCTTTGATGGTTGAGTAAATTTTCCTTTCGACCCTCACTTAGAACCTTGCAATCACGTTTAGCCAG